CTGATGACATTTGGTCCCATCGTGTTCAAGTCCGTGGGCCTGGCCGACCTCCGACTCGCCACGACTTTGGTGTACTTTGGTCGGTTCCACGACATGTACTTGGCTGGCAAGTTTGGCGATCGCTTCAGCCGCCGCGCACTGCTTCTATGGGGCACCACGTGCATGATACTGACGTCGGTGGGGTTTACCTTGTGCCAAATGTACCCGAACGACACGACGAACTGGATTCAAATCGGGTGCATGATCTTGTTTGTGGCGGCCTTTTGTGCATCGATCGGGTCGTTGGGGTGGCTCGTCCCGACAGAGCTTGTGCCGGAATCGCTCGGGGCGACGAGTGGGGCCATCGCGACCTTCACCACCTGGACGGCGCAGTTCTTCATCGGTGTGTACTTCCAGCAGATCTCAAGCCCCGAGCACTGGGGCACGCAAGCGTTCGGCATGTTTCCGGCGGTCCTCGTCGTGTTTGCCGCGTTTGTGTGGAGCAGTGTGCTGGACTCGCGCAACAAAACGTCGGAAGAAGTCACTGCGATGTTCGCATGGAGCCAAGGCTCCTCGGCAAAGGCCAACGGCGCGTTTGTCTACTGGACGTCCGACAAAGAGAACTGCATTCTCAGCAGCCCGTGACCTCGATGAACGATTCTCTGTATGTCTACGTTGTGAAGACTTTAACTTTCGCCCTGTTGCATTGAGAGTGCCGTGGATGCCCAGTTGAGTTTGGGGGGACCCTCCGCCCGCCCCGAGGCGGTTGGTTTTCTCGTGGAAGCACGGAACGTTCCCGAATCGAAGGCTCGGTGATGGCTACAGACGGCGGTGAAAGCTGAGGAGGTCGTGAGCAATCCTGTGTGGGGCAATCTCCTTATGACGCTTCATTGTCGTCCAGGTACCGCTGCCAGTATGGTCACGGACTCACGACCCTGTGTGGCTCTCTTCATTACCCCATCCATCCCCCAAATCACAGAAGCCGACGACCGCAGGAGCACGCGCGTCATTTTAAGGCGATGGTAAGGATCGCACATGCAAGAGGGAAGCGGGGACGATATTCTCACACGTCTTGAACGCAGCAGTGTTGCAAGAGAGTCGCTCCTTACATAGAGACGTCGAGGTCACTCACCACTGTCCATGCCGCACGCCGAGACATCGGACACAGGATCGCAATTGCCAAACTCACTCCAGGTACTTGTAGCACTGCGGTTTGCACAAAGCTGTGCACGTGGGAAACGACGGCTTTGCTTTTGCGAAGCACGGCGCTCCATTCACGATTACAGATATCGCCGCGTTCGCGCGAAAACGTGGATCGTTCATGGGGTTTCTACACTCGTGGACGACGAGTCGATGCCATGGCCCATGGCCTCATTGCCAGTCCTGCGTAAGGATTGGACGGGCATGGCTGTCCTTTCGCTGCCAGATCCGTGTCGATGACGTTTGTCCCGTCGGTTCAGATCAACCAGTCGCGCGAGCAGTGACACGTCGGACGGAATGCCGTCTAGGGGGGCGTTGGTTTTGTGGAGCCTCGTCTTCAAGGAGGGCCAGGACTGGAACGCATCCCGTGGAATGTTTCGCAGCGGACATGAGTCGATGGAGACCATGAACATCGACGGAGGAACGTTCGTGTGGATAATCGCGGGGTCAGCCGAAAACTGTGCTAGATGTCAACCGTACACATCCACCGTGGCAGAGTCGCGATGTACGACGTCATGGTCGAGTTGAATATGAAGATCTTGTACAGATGGGACAACGGCACGAGCGTCGACGATGCCACATTATGGGGCAAGGCGCAGTGGTGGAGCACCAACAACCACATACCCATGGTGGTGGGGTGGACCGAGTGGCTGAGTCGGCTGTCGAAGTGATGGCGTTGCACATGATGCTTGTATACAGGCAAAGGCAATCGTGCCCTCTGATGGCCCTCGCCTGAGCGACGCAATGCGATGGACACACGGAAGGGCTGGTCGGAACACGGATGGCCAAGATCGTCAGCTCGTGTCCCCAAGCAAACGCCAGCACCATGTTGACCTTGACGATGCGGCGGGTACACTTAGTCGAGATGGGGTCTTCGGCCGGCTAGACAACTCCTCGGCCATGCAACGTACCAAGGGAGCCGTCGCCGTGCGATGTAGCAGTCCATGTACGTCCAGAATCGGCTTTGTCGCTTCGACCACTCGACGATCACGTTCGCGTACGACAAGGCTCCTGTGAGCCACGCGTCCTCTGAATAGCATTTACGTCGTCTCCAATCATGATTGCAATGATTTACACCAGGGCAAGCTCGTGGACATGGCAAAGCACACCACAAAGTCCACGGCGTTCAAGAAGGCGCCTCGGGCCATGGACAGGTTGCGCATGTTGCGATGAGGAAGGAATTGGCGCTTTGGCTGATGGCGCTACCCGCATTGAATACGGCGAAGAGGACGTCATGCCGCGTGCACATGAGGAGGTGCAGTCGCCACCATGGCTGATGATCGGGAGGGGTAGGACCTTAGAGGACGCCGAGTGGAAGGGGCCAATGCGGTTGCGATGGGCCATGGAGGTGCCGTCGTCATGAATGCACATTCTGTACACGTGGAGGATGCTGATATGGACAAAGCAGAGCGGTGTGATAAGCGTTGAGAGGATCATTGTGTCCTGGGGTGTCTCTGAATCCAGCATGGTGGAGAAGCGACCACAGCATCCAGAAAGGATTCCGTGAAAGCAGTGGATGGTGAGTCGTGACCACTTGGAGGAGAGTGGCGTGAACGATGTGCTGCATGACTATGCCTTGGCCATGGGTCGTCTGCGATCGGCACCAGATTTTGGAAAGCCCTTGCAAGCACATCATCACATGAATTTTCGCACCATGAAGTCATCAAACCTCCGCACATGACGAACCCGGCGTCATGATAGTCCAAAGCGTGGAGTTGCTAAGATCGATGTCGTTATGACGGATGGGAAAGGGGCGACGGGGGACGGCAGTGGGGCCCCAAACTGGGGTTGTAAATGTCGGGGAAGGCACTCGACTAGTTCGTCATGAACACAGGCGCCGCCCAATGCATGATCATCGACGTATGTGATTGAACAATTTGATGTAGTCATTATTGTGGTAGGAAATGTGGCCATCCCTCTTGGGCTGCGCACGCTGTAGTTGGATGCACAACAAGTGAACGAGCCGAGTCATTGTTGTCTTGCGCCGGTGTTCGCAACCGACGGCTTGCCGTGTTCACAACGGCGACCTC